ATCCATCCATCCATCCATCCATCCATCCATCCATCCATCCATCCATCACAGCCAGAGCCACCAGCTCTCCAGCGTTTCTCCGCCTGCACCAGCTGAGTGAAGCTAGCACGTATGGGAGGACACGCTGTTGCAGTTCTTAGAAATTTAAAGCGACAGTCAAAAATTGCATTATGAATATGAAAAGAAAAAAAAACGTATATCTGTCACAAACCAGGGTTCTGGATTCAAAATAGCCAGACACAGGAATGCAAAAACAAGTACAGAATTTATTTATTATAGGCTGTGGGTGCAAAGTCAGGATCAGCTGAGTTGACAGTCTTCACAGGCAAATGGAGTGAGAGTCACCTGTCAAGACTGCAGCGATGACGTCACTGGTCCTGTGCAGAGCAGCTGAAATAACGTGGTTTGAGGGGCAAATCCAATAACGGGGTCCGGTTGTCAGAGCAGGGGTCATGAACAGGAAGGCAGAGGTCCAGATTCAAAATCCAAAAACGTAATCCATGAAGCGTGGTCTAGTAGAGGAAAAAGGGTGCGTTACCGTGGCCAGAGAGGCAAACAAATCCAAGAGGGGCAGGTAAGGCGAGGAGTCCAAAAACAGGCGAGGACACAAGGCAAGGCAAGACGAGGCAAAGCAAGGGCAGGGCACAAGATACTATGAATGGCTTTAGTATCAGTGATCAAGAGTGGTGTAATAATGGCCGCTGACCATGACACCATGCTGAAGTTGTAGGACTTGCCAGCAATGTGAACCAGAGTTGCACCATTCCAGTTTATATAACTGGATGGCTCATACCATAGGAGCACACCACACAGTTTATCTTGAATAATATAGTTGGATGGTTTTTCCAAGTCATGAGTGAGAGAAGAATGGAGCGTGAGATAGACATAAGGATTGATGCAGCTATTGAGTACACTGCTCCGGGCCAATGGAGTGAAGCGGGAGCTGAGCTGCAAGGCGAAGCTCTCTGTTTACTAGTTGGCCTATGTTCAACTGCCTGGCTGACATCAGGGACTGGATGGCTTTAAATTTCTTGAGTTTCAATGAAAAGAAGTCTGAAGTCATGTTGTTCCCTCCCAACAACATAATCATAAACCACTGCATTGACCTCTCCGCTCTAACCCTGTCAGAAAAACAAAGAGTCACTAATCTGGGCGTGATAATGAACCCTTCCCTGAAACTTAACAATCATGTAAACATGATTGTTAAATCATGCTTCTTCCAACTGAGG